TTAATTGACTTAATTAGAGTTGGTCCACAACCCATCTTGCAGAAGTTTTTTGGTGGAACGAAGCCAGGACTATCCGCAATTGAAAAAAATTTCCTGCAGTCACGATCCGTAATTTTAAAATCCGCAATTCCTGACAGTCTTGGACGGAACTGAACTGAATCGGGGTTGAGGACCAACCTTAATGCCCAGATAAAAAATTTGATGTCCCAGATAATTCTTTTATTCAGAAATTTTTTTTATTTTACCTTACATGTTATTTTACTATAGTATTTTGTATATATACCTCGTTTATGTATAAATTTTTATTTACTAGATATTTATTTTACCCTAAAAATGGTCAACTTTCATGGTAATTTAGGAAATTTAATAAATTGCCGAAAACTAGAGAAAGATGTTGGAAGTCAGAATTTCGACCATAATTCCTACCACCCTCTGTTATATAATCTAGAGACCGGAATTTCGTACTGAACGGTATTCAGTATTAAAATACAGAAAAATACCGATATCGATAAATACTGATAAATTCAGAATTTTACCTTGCCGTATTCCGTACCGCATTGCCGACTGTAATATGTACCGATAAATACCGTCGTAATACGGTAACGTCCCGTCTTTATATACAACATAGATTTTTATATAAATCTCGAATTTAGTCCCAGAAAAAAACTTTTTATATTTTATTTTCTCTATTCTTTCAATTCCCCCCTTAAAGCCTACTATGTAAAACACCCCCACTACTTCAGCTTTTTCTTTCCTTTTTCAATTTCTAACCATTTACGTCATTAAAAAGCTTTTCTTATTTCTTAAAACAAAAATGCTCTAAAGCTTTTTAATTTTTTTTTAAAAATGTAAAGAATTAATTTATTTAAAAAATATTTCTTTTTAAATTAAAAAACTTTTTTTTCCTTTAAATTTCAGTCACTTTTTTAATTTTAAAAATTAAGGAAGTTAATTTTCTTATGTATTTCCCCTTAAAAATTCTAAAAAAAAATTTTTTTTCTTTTGTTTCAAATTTCCAATTAATATCAAATAAATACCTCTCTCGTCATTTTTTTTATTTGAAAAAAAATATTTTTAAAAAAAAATAATAAATAATAACCACGTAATATTTAAGAACACTTTTTATTTTTTTATTTTCTCTCATTTTCTCTCATTCTTATGGGTACATTTTACCGCGGCCAACTTGGCGCGGGTCTTAGCATCAACCCTAGTAAAGTCTGCACCTAGTCAAGTTTGGTATGGTTCGACGCGTCTCATCGTGCTGAGTCTGTTGGTGCCTAAATTGACGAGCTCTGACTTTTCTAAATTAAGTTATGACCTCGCGCCGTACTTGGCTTGCGGTAAAAAGTCTTGCCCCTTACTTTCTAAAGCTTCTAAAAAATAAGTATAGCCTCAACCCTCTTTTATCCACTGCTTGAATAAATAAATAAAATGGCAATGACATATGTAAAAGCATAAAAGTAGAGACTAAATAAACTAGAAAGAACATTTATTCTTTTTTTAAAAAATGTCAAAGAGTTGTTTAATGCCAACAGAATATTTTATTCATATGAATTAATGAATAAATAATTAAAATGTCCAAAATAGGCAAATTTTTTTTCTACTTGACGACATTTGCAGACAAAAAATATAGTGCATGTCGAGCGTGTAGGACTAGATTAAACTCTTACTTAAGATATCTGCTAATTGAACACCTCAATTTAGGATGCTTTTTAAGGTGTAGTTGGTCATGGGGGCGGAAGCTGTTTAAAGGGGTATGAAGATACCCCTTAAATGAAGATACCCCTCTGTTTCCGATTCCAACAGTTCCGAGTCCCATCCTCTTCTAATTCAAAAAAATTATCCGCAAAAATACCTCCGCTATTTAAGCTACCCTCGTTATGAGATTTAAAAAAATTTCAGGCCTAAGGGGTCTCTTTACGATTCCAACAGTTCCTAGTTTCGGCAACTTCGTCATTTAGGCTGACTTCCGTTTTCTAATTTAATCCAACTTTAATTTACGCCTCCCAATCTTAATTCATTTTCTATAGAGAAATTTAAAATTTGTCCGCAAATATTTGTCCGCAACTATTTGTCCGCAAAAATTACCTCCGCTCTTCCTGTAAATGACAAATTTATTTTATTTATCACCTTCTCTCCCCGACATTTTTCAGCGACAAAAAATTTTTTTCGTTAAAATTTTTCATTTCCATCCTTAAAGAAAAATTTTGACGTCATCAGATTCTTTATTTCCCTTCCTCTTCCAATTCAAAAAATTCTATTGTTTGTTTGGATTGTCTCCCACACCTGCTACTTACTTTTAAATACCATTCTTTCTACTAATAAATAAATATATTTATCGACCTCATCACATATTTTAAGCTTTTCCTCAAAGCTTTTTTAACTCAATTTTGTCCTCTTTTCAATTCGGTTACTTCCGTATAAGCTAATTTTTCTTGGATTTTTAAAAATATTTTTTTTTGTTTTTTAAACAATAATTTATTTAAGCAGATTGCCCACACATAAAAATTATTTACTAAATAACTTTTCTCTATTTAAAGGGTTTTAAAAAATAATGATCAGGGCTAACTAGAGTTGATCAAGACGAGACCGATACCGAGACAGATACCGAGATTCTCGGCTTTTTTCCAATATCGGTCTCGGTTTTTTCATTCTCGGTCTCGAAACCGATACCGATATTCTCGGTCCATTTCTCGGCGAGAAACGATACTGACTCAAAGGAACAAAATTCTCAATATTGTCCAAGTTTTCGGCCATAATTTTTTTCGGATATCCGTCCATAACAGAGAAAGTGAATTTTTTTCGAATAAGGTCTTCTAAAATTCAAAAACTTTTCGCCTGCGGCGCTGAAAAAGGAAGAAATTTGGTGAATTGGCCTTCCAAAATTTAATAAATTTTCGTCTGCGGCGCTGAAATGTTGAATTTTCCGAGACCTCGGCCGTTAGATTTTCAAGATTTTTATTACAGAGCCTTCCGATTTTCGGCAACTGTTGTTCCCACCAGTGGATTAAGGGGATTTAAAATGATCGGAAGCAGGGATGAGCGCATTGAGTTTGCGTTATGAGGGATACGGACAAAACTTAGTATCCATTGCCAAGCCAGATCTGATCCAGATGATGAAGAGTATTTATCTGATGATTTGTATGATGAAAATAATGAATAAATTATTTTTACTCGTATTTTTTGACATAAAATAAAAATTTTTGTTAGTCTCGGTCAGTATCGTTTCTCGGTATCGGTCTCGGCTCAAAATGTTGGTATCGGTCTCGGTATCGGGTTCTCGAGTATCGGCCAATCTCGGTCTCGGGTTGGCCGATACTAGTATCGTTTTGATCAACTCTAGGGCTAACCGAGTGACTCGACTCAATCGCTCGGTTTTCTCGAGCTCGATTTTTTCTCAATTACTCGGTACACAACGTATTCTATTAAACTTAGATACATACCTATTTCTTAAATATCTATTTTGATCTTAGATACTTTAAAAGTTAAAAAATTTAAGGAATTATAGTAATGACTCACTAATTTTTAAATTATTTGTTTTTCATAAAAATTTTTATTTAACAAAAAAATTTTTTGGTTCAAAAACTCTGAGAATCACATAAAATATTAATCTCTTAAATAAATTTTAAATTCTCAGAATTGTTTAAAAATTTTTTTTCGGTTTTTTCAAAAAAAATGTAGAGAAAAATTTTCCAAAATTATTTTGAAACAAATCGATACTTCCAAAATTGAGAAAAAAAAATCTGAGAAAAATTCGAAGATTTTGGTGCTTTTTGTAGGATGAGGTCACAAACCCTTGCAAATTTCTCCTTTGTCTTTTCAATGCTTTTTAACTGAATTATTTTAAATAAACTTTGAAAAATTATTCTTTATTATTCTAGTTTTACGTTTTAATTTTATAAAAATAAATACACAAAACTTAAAAACAGAAACATTAAGAAAACACATTTTCTGCTAATTTATTAGAATATTATTTGCCATTTTAGTTATTTTATTGTTTAAAATAGATTTTATTTTCAACTTTTGATTAAAATATTTACATATTTTTTCAAATTATTTTAATTTTTCTGGGGGTTTCTTAATTTTTAATTCTTTGAAAAAAATTTTTCTGCTTAATAATGTAAAAATAGGAGAAATCAAGCTGCATATTTTCAACTTCCTGGAATTTATTGTTAGGGTACTACTGTCATGAGTAGGATTGTCGGTTCTTGGAAAATCCGAAACAGAACCGAAGAAACAAACTAAAAAATTGTCGGTTCCAGATATCCGAAAAGATTTTCCTAGAACCGACAACCATGCTTGGTGACTCACTCGATAGAGTATCTACATACACCAGGGATCGCGCCAACAGAAAACCAAATTCACGATTTTCGGGAATCGTTAATCGGGTCGGCGCGATCCCTGATCTGCACGTTGTGAGCAGAAGCTCCTAACTATATCTTACATGAAGTCGATGATGCCTACCAAGTTGCTAAACTTTTGCCAGCCTTTCACTATAATTAATTATCGTTTTTTATTCCAATTTCCTAATTTTTATTTATTTTTAAAGTTAAAAAATCTCCTCTTGAAAATTTGTAAAATTTATTAAATATTTTAACAAGTCTTTCCTAAAAATTTTTGAGAGAAAAAAATTTTTTCCCTCTTCTCTAATTTAAATATAAATTTTCATTTTCATTTATTTCTTGTTTAATTAGAAAGATATAATTGGCTTGAGCAAAAACAAGAAAAATAATAATTAATATAGACAACCGCATTAAAAAATAAAACACGCACAATGGATGGGGGTAACTACGTCAAAACTCAGCGAGATGAGAGGAAAGCATTTTTTGCTGTCACCTTTAGGCAAAGCAAATAATATTTGAAGAGGAGAGAATTTACGTCGGAGGTCGAACGCTTTTTTAAAGCATTTTAAAAAGGGAAAGAAGAGGATAGAGGATGTTTGTGGGGAGAAGGAGGATGTTGGGAGAGGAAGAGGCTGTTAGGAGGATGTTGGGGGGGGGGGGGGTGATAGGATGTTGGGTAGGTAAGAGGCTGTTATAATAGAAGGATGTTTATGGTGACGGGATGTTGGAGGAAAGGGAGGATGGGAAAAGGAGAATGTTGGGGAGAAGGATGCTGTTAGGAGGGAAGAGGCTATTAGGAGGATGTTTGGGGGTATAGGATGTTGGGTAGGAAAGGGAGGATGGGAAAGGAGGATGTTGGTGGGAAGGAGGATGCTGTTTGGAATGGATCCTTCCCTTCCAAACAGCTTCCCTTCCAAACAGGGGGGGGAGGGACAAGGGATCCTTCCCTTCCAAACAGCATCATTCTCACCAACCCTCCTGGGTTTGGGAAGTGGAAGAAGATGTTGGGGAGGAGGGGAGAACGTTGGGAAGAGGAGGTTGTTTGGGGGTATAATGGAAATGGGAGTAGAGGGAGGGGGAGAGGGGGGAGGGACACAAAAAATAGAGGAGAGTTTAAGGAATGAAGATGGGGGCCGTTCGCCCATCTTTATACTATTTTATTTTATAGTTTATTATTTATTTTCTCATCATTTATTATTTTATTTTTTTATTGTCACTATTACAGCTGTTAATAAAAAAATATATTTCCTTTAAAAAAGTATTTTTAAATTTAAAAGCTAGCTTTTAAAATTCAAAGAAAACTCCTCAACTCCTCCCCCTTTGCGTGTGTTTAATGTCTATAAATTTTTAAATAAATTTTTACAATTTCCCTTTTTTCTACCTTTTTCTTCATTAAAAAATATATTTTTTAAATGAGAACATTTTAATCCTTACGGAGGATTTATTTTTATGTTAGAATTATTTTTCTTATTATTTTTCTATTTATTTTTATTTTTTTTAATTTTCAAAGAGGAAAAGCATTGATTACTTTTTAATTTTTATTTAATCGACGCTAATGATTTTTTCTTTAAAAAAATTTTTTTCTTTGTTAAATTGATTTAAAAATTGCTTTCTTTAATTTTTATTTAAAAAATTTTTTTATTTGACAAATTAATGCATTAAATTTTAAATTTTTTAAATTTATTAAAAAATTATTTTTTTATATTTCTTAGAGGGCTGTCTGTAAAGTAAAAATAATTTAATTATTTAAAAACCCCACAATTAATTTTAAAAATTCCCACTTGTGAACCCTTTTTTCTACCTTTTTCCTTTATTATCCCCTTACCTCTATTCAAAACAAAATTTTAAAAATTCCACATGTATTTTTTGCCTTGATTAAACACAATAAAAACTACCTCAATTCTATAAACGAACGAAATTTTTTGAATAAAAATTTTTGTGAATATACAGTATTAATTGTCAATAAAAGGCCTTCAAAGGTGGCTGATTAATGGAATTTCTAGGGATTATTCAGACATGCAAATCTGATATCCTAAGCGAAAAATTCCGTATGTCCGTACTCTTTTCGGATCCCTAAAAATCCTTACTACTCTACTAAATACTACTCTTTTCGGATCCCTTAGAGACAAAGATATATTTTTTAAATCAAAATTTACTTCAATATTCTAGCATTTATCTAGCAAATTTACTAATCTCTTTCTTATTATGGCAAAATTTTGAAATTTTATTTATTATTTTTAAATCAGACTAGGAAATTTCCTCATATCCAGATTTTCTTTAATTTAATTATTCCCTCAACTTTTTCATTGTTTATTAACCTTAATTTTCATTATTTTTAAAAATTTTTTGTTTAAAAATTTTATCTTTAAAAATTAGAATGGTACAAAGTCAACAACAAAAACAAAAATCACTTGTTGGGGAACAGCCCAACACCAACAATAGCGAAACAGCGCCTTTAGGCGAAGATAAATATCAACAATCCAAAACACAAATAAAACAACCACTAACTTGTATTAATGAAAATATCCCTCAAAAGGAAATTACAACAACACAGAGACCCGAAACAATAAAAGTAATTATATAAAAAAAATAATATTTTTTTGAAATATTTTTAAAAATAATTTTTGAAAATTTCTATGCATTAGGACCTCAATTTAAACTAAAACCTCTTCTTTAAAAACCTCCAATACCATTTTGATACGTATTTATTAAGTAATAACCCCCCCCCCCCCTCTTTCTAAAATATCCCCCTCTATAGGTCGATCGAAAAAATAACCCCCGAGGGTTATTTTAGAGAAAATACGGTACGTTTTTAAAATTTGGTTAGGCACTGGATTAAAGAGCTGCTTAAACAATACCAAAGCTTTGACATTTCTATTTCCGTTCCAAAACAACTCTAAGCGATGCTCTCTGTAGAGACCTGACCGAGACAATATCTCGATCGAAAATCTCGGTTATCAAGATTTTATCAAGATCCATTTAGGATACTTTCTCATTAGGATACCATTTAGATACGTCTTTATTTAGGATACCTTTTTAAAATTTGGTCCTTCCAGTCCGAGCTTTGATCTCCATTTAAGACACAAATTCAATTCTAAGATTATTCAGCCCCAAAAACTTTCTAAAAACGTGGGTGAATACATTCCAGAACCCAAATTAATTTTTCATTTGTTTTTTGGACGCTAATTAAAACATTCTTTATTCATGTTAATTTTTATACTTTTTTTATAATTTTTTTATTTTGGAGAGAAAAGTTTGACGAAAATAGAAAATTTTTATTCGTTGATTTTTTAAATTTTTTAAAAATTTCAAAAAATAAACTACAAATTTTTTTTTTTAAATTTTTGCTTTATTTTTTTTTTAATTTTCTAAATGTACAGCTGATTGCTATTTTTATTTTGTATTGCGTAGAAAATAGGGCGAAAATAGAAAATAAAAAAATATTTTATTTTAAATTTTTGAAATTTATTTTTTTATTCAAATACAAACTATTCTCTTTATTTTTCTTTAATCTTAGAATATTTTTAAAAATGAAAAATTTAGCAAATTTTTTGATTAAGGTATTTAAACTTAATTTAATATAACACTAGCCTTAAATATAGTTAGGGGTGGGGTTTTCGAGTCGGGCCGACATTCGGGTCATTTTTGGGCCTCATTTTTATCGGGCCGGTCCAACCGAGTCTTTTTCAGGCCAAAATTCGATGCCCGACTCGATCTTTCGGATCGGAAAACATTTTTAGATCGTCTAGTTCATCCCAGGGATGCTAACATAGAAAAATAAATGACCGATTTCGGAACTTACGATCCCTAAATATCTTAACATATACTCATACAACTCATGTCTAGCTACCGTAAAAATTCCCTTCCTTCGAATAATTCCCCACCCTTGAATAATTCCCCTCCCTCGAATAATTCCCCATCCCACGGATGGGTTGAAATATTAATTCCTCGGGGGAAAATATTAAAATTCTCAAAAAATCAAAAATATTTATTCACAAGTTTCTCAACAATCTAAATTCTAAAAATTTAAAAAATATTTCTTAATTTTCTAGGTTGGGTTTTATGAGGTTGGCCGAACTATCGGAAAAGGCAATTATGCAGTTGTTAAACTAGCAAAACACAGAATAACCAAAACAGAGGTAAATAAATAAATTTTTAAAAATAATAATAGCCAATAAAATTAAAAAAAAAATGAATTTAATAATCTCAAAAAAAATTCTACCGGAACTACCCAATAATTAATTTTTAATTTTAATTTATTCCAAAAATACTTTTAAATTCCAATTATTTTTTAAACTTAAAAAATTTATTTTTTTTAATTAAAAAATATTTATTAATGATCGGTTTGACGTAAAAAAATATTTTTTTTTATTATTGTCGTCAGTCCTCATTATTTTATTTTAATGATAGGTAAATAACCTCCCTCTGTTTATTGACGCAAAAAAAATAAAATTTTATAATTTATAAAAATATTAATTAAAAATTAATTAAAATATTGATTTAATTAGACAATTAATTAATTAATTAAAAATCTGAATAATAAAATTAAAATAAAAATTAGATTGGGGTTTGGCTAATAAAATAAAAATAAAATTGCCTTAAGACGAGATCAGTTCCAGACGAGATCTCGATCAAGAATCTTGGTTATCTAGATGATATTTTTTGAAATCTCGATTCTTGACGACTTTCTCAGTCAGTTCTCCACCAGTGTTTGGAAGCTCGAACCAAAATTTTTACTCATTCTTGTGTACGAAATACGAGTACGAGAAAATTTTAAAATTCCAAACACTGGTCTCCTCTTAATCTAAGGTTGTCGGTTATTGAAAATACTGAAGAGCCGAAAAATACTCAGTTCTTCTGTTCGATTCTGAACCTAAAATTCTATTTTAAACAGTCAATTTATTTAATTGTTTACAAAAATATTAATCAAAAATAATTATAAATATTCGGGATAGTTAAAATTATTTCTTGGAAAAACGAAAAAATTTCTTAGCTTTGCTGACTCTTTAAAAATAATAAATAAAAAATATTTTCTGTAAATAATAAAGAAAATTAAAAAAAAATTTAAATTTTCTTTTCAGGTAGCAATAAAAATTGTTGATAAACGCCGTCTTGATGCAAATAATTTAGCCAAAATATATCGAGAGATTGAGGTGCTTAAAAGGTTGAGACATCCACATATTGTTAGGCTTTATCAAGTGAATATTTAATTAATTTCTTTTTATTTTTTCAAATTTTAAACAAATTTAAAACTGTTAATCCTTGCATACCTTACTATAAAATACGCCCAATATTAAATAATCCTTAATTTAAGTTAAGATTTTTTTTCTTTGGTCAATGTCACTAGTTATCGGCCTGGGTTTTGACCAAGGCCTGAGTTTTACTGTACCAAGAATCGGGGCATTTTTTGACCTTCCTTGGGGTTTTTCCGTGACTGTGTTTTCCCTGGATTACAGGCCCAGGATCCGGCCCAGGTCAATTAATCAAACCCAGGGACAGGCCCAGGCTTTTCAAAAATACCCATCTCTAATATCCACTGAATTGAGGAGGAAAATTTAAAGATAAGGAACTCTATCTTTAAATTTTTTTAAATTTTCATCCTAAGGTGTTATTTAAAAAATAAGTTTCGCTGTATTTTTCTTTAGAAAAATTTTTTTAATTAATTTAAAAATATCTAAAGGTAATGGAGACAAATAATATGCTTTATTTGGTTACTGAATATGCCCCAAATGGTGAAATATTTGGTAAAATTAAATTTTGGATTTAATCTAAAATTTTTTTTAAAGATTTAATATCAAAACAGCACAGATTAACTGAAGAAAATGCTAGAGAAAAATTTTGGCAGGCAAATAAATTTTATTAAAAATATTTAGTCAAAAAATTATTTTATAGATAATATCGGCTGTTGATTATTTACATAATATTAATATTGTTCATAGAGATCTTAAGGTGAATTTTTGTTTTATAAAAATTTTCAAAAGAATTTTTCCTTATAATTTTTTAAAATATTCATTAGTAAACCGATATTTACCGAAAAAAATCAAAAGCCTAATAATTTTTGAAAAAACGGTCCCACGGTTTAGCTAGAAATTGGACAAACGGCAAAATCAAATAACAAATCAAATAGTTTGATATTTGGAAATGTTTGATTTCTTTTCAAAACACATCAAACAAATACTTGATCAATAAAATCAAATAAAATTTGATCAAATGTTTGATTTTCCAACGTCAAATACTTACCGTATTTACTCGAT